AGGGATATCTGCAATAAATTAAAATGTGGTTAATATGGACCAGGTTCTGTGTAGAAACGTTCGATTCTCACTTTCTTTGTTTCTGCCCTCCAGGTTTTACGGCGCATTGCTAATAGTGGTGTGTCTGCTCTATGTTGCTCCTTTGGGCTGGGTGCTTGCAGGGCTCAACAGTGTTGCCTTCCTGTGGAACAAAGACTTCCACAGAGGTTGGCTCATTCCCAAAAGTTAAACAATGTCACTTGGATGGTTTGGAGGATGTTTTTTTTAATTTGCTGTCTTTATCCCTTGTTTTTAGTTTTGTTGGATGTGAGGAACCTGCTTCCTCTGGGCCAGACACAGACCTCAGAGGGGATGAGTGAGGAGCAGGAACAGGGCAATACAGCGGACCAGACCCCCACACCCACCAGCCTGGAGGTGAGATTACAGAACATTGTGCTCTGAAAAAGATGTTGTGGTTTACAGTTGAACCAGCCACAATTGTAAGCTTCTTATTCTGTTCATCCGATGTACTGATGAATCTGTGTGTGTGTGTTTCACAACAGGACCTCTCTCCTGGCAGCATAGAGGAAGCTGAAGAGGCTGAGCCAGATGATGAATTTAAGGATGCTATTGAGGTAAATATTAAGCAAGCACTAAATATTTAAGATCCACTTTCCTTTTCTGGTGAGTCTGTAATCCTGCAGTCTGTAGTGACCTGAGGAATGAGTTTACCTGAAAAATCCAGCTTTCTGATAATCACCTGAGACTGAACCCAACATATATGGCATACAATCTGCTAGAGCTAGATAAGATAGTAAAATGGATATAGCTGCAGAATCATTGCATTATGTCCTCAACCTATCACCAGCTAGCCCTTCAAGGAGTCTCGATGTTGACAAGCTTTGCATCAAAATATGGGAGCATTGTAAAAGTAGTATGTAAATGAGAACTTTCACTGTTTTTATGTGTACGATTTAACTATTTGATAGCCTAGCTCTGTCTGTCTTAGGGTTGGTCAATATCCAATGTTCTAATACTGCCACTAAAAAATAAAAATACATTGAGAGGCTAGTCATATTTTTATATTGGTGCACAGTTAACAACATTTAATAGCTTCCTAGTATATGTTTAAACCTTTTTAATCTTGCTTCCATGGATTTGCATAACACAATAAGATATGCAGTTGAAACAGATTTTCATAAAATTACAGTAAATATACAGAGGTGGGTAATCCAGGTCCAGAAAGTTAAAACCATGCCTAGTTTCCCTTCACCCTGCTAAATTATGCAGATGATTTGCCCTCAGTCTTTTTTGTGGAGCTAAAATGAAAACATCAGTACTAATCTGTGTTCAGGTTTTTTTTACTTTCCGGAACTGGATTTTTCACCTCTCTATAAAAAAAAAATAAAAAAAATGAAAGCATTTCTGAAGTCAGTATTTTGGCTTGATCAGGCCTGATGATGATATGCGGCAGGCTGTATGTTTTTGAGCTGTGGCATTTGCTTGGTGTCTACTTATTGTTCCACATGGTTACGGTATATCTGGTTATCGCCATCCTAAAACTAGCAGGTTTTTTTTTATTTTAAACAGTCCTGCAGCTATTCATAGTAAAGTGGTTGTCAACCCTAATCCATGTTTCTGTAATTAATTTACACGAAGACAAAGGCGTCACATTTGATACATTTTTCTACTTAGATGTTGTGTATCAAATACTTTTAGTGGCTGATGGTGATTTTTAGCTTGCTTTAAGTTTTGATCTACGTAACTCTGGTCAGAGAAGATCGAAGGGATATCGGGTAGATCTAAATACTTGGATTAATTTGTGCATGGTAACAAATATTTGTGTTTGTCATGACTTATGACAGGATTCTAAATGTAATGTTTGGAGCATTTTCTTTAGTTTTTCACACACAATTTGAAAAAAACTGGTTTCACTTTTTGAAATTACAACATTAAACCCCTCTGATGACACTTCCTTTTTTCCCTCATGCTGTGCTCTGAACTCAGGAAAATTCAGTTGCTTTGCAGGTGAGTTTTACCTGCTTTCCAAAGTACTCCACTCCCAACCATCACATGTGGCAACCATGTGGTGTTGTTGTTGGATCTGCTCTCAAACCGTGGTTATAAGTGTTATTTATTATATGTAAAGATGCTCATGTGTTGTTCTGATTCCTAACAAGGAAACCCCTTTGCTGTCATTGGTAAGTGAAATCCATCCATGCATGAACCACATTAGTGAAATCAAATTTTCTCCCCCTTCCATTTAACTAGAATGTCCTCATTAAGGATTTGAAGTGCTGTTGTGCTTTTGTAACTGAAAGCATGTTGTGAAGTGTGCTGCCTAAATGCCTGCTCTTTAACGTTTGACATGCACATGCATCATAATACATTTCAGAGATGCACTGATATGTAGATTTGGACTGATAAAAATATACCACTATTGATATTATTATAAGAGCTAATATTTTGCTTATTCTAATTTTTTGCTATACTTTCAACATGATAAAATGACTTTGCTGATATTGCCTTACTGTTAAATTATTCTTATTCTAATTGGTTTTAACATCTGCCAATACAGAAATGAATACTGATATTCCATGCATCCTTGATACGCTTTTACTTTTATTTTCTAAACTTCACACGAAAATGCAGCCCAGTATGACTAACCAGCTTAATCAAAGATTCTGGTAGAAATATTTTTCCTAAACTAATATTAATTGGATGCAGTAGGATACTGGAGGACGTCATAAACGGCTATAAAAAAGAGGAAATCCCTTCGAACTGTACATTTCAAGATGACAATGACCCCTAACACACCAATAAACAAGCAGCATCTGGGCTCCAGAACAGCAGCATTAAAGGAAAATTCCGGTTTTTAACACTTTTAGCCCCTTTTCTGTAGTGTCCAGGATGAAATCGAATGATCGACACCAAAATTTTGACGATTGGTCCTGTCTCTGCTATTTGGCTCATGCAGAATCCCCCCCTGGCTGCTTCAGAATGGCTTCCATTGTGCATGTCCGATAATGTCCTTAAAACAACCTTAAACGTTCTTTTTTTAAAATATGCTACTCACCGGGTCGTCAACGCTGTTCAATGACCTTCAAAAACAAGTTTCGTAAAGAAAAAACTTTCCTGTAGTGTTTTATTTAGCATTTTGTAAATCCCATTGAGTTCTGTTGGAATAGTCAATATCCCTCCGCCACCGGAAACGGAAATGGGGCCTGTTTACGCTTAGTTGTAGTCTTTTCGCAAGGCCCAAGTGTTTCTGCTTCACTCTGTGTACTCCGACGACGAGGTGCTAACGTCTCTGTTAAACACTTTAAAAAACTCTGAAAATGGAATACGAAAGGTGGATTCTTGAGGAGGACATATTGGACTTTGAGTTTGACGGTAGAGGATACCGTCGCCAACTAGTGGTCTGGAGTGTGCAACGCTTCAGATTCGAACGGGAAGCGGAAGTTTATAAGCGGTTGTGATGTATCGGAAAAAATAGTTCTGGGATTTACAAAATGCAAAATAAAACAAGACAGGAACGGTTTTTCTTCACGAAACTTTTTTTGGAACGTCATTGAACAGCGCTGACAACACGGTGAGTAGCATATTTTAAAAAAAGAACGTTTAAGGTTGTTTTAAGGACATTATCGGACATGCTCTATGAAAGCCATTCTGAAGCAGCCAGGGGGGGATTCTGCATGAGCCAAAAAGCAGAGACAGGACCAATTGTCAAACTTTTGGTGTTGATCATTCGATTTCATCCTGGACACTACAGAAAATGGGCTAAAAGTGTTAAAAACCGGAATTTTCCTTTAACATTATGCAGCAGCCACTCACATCACTGATCCTTAATCAGACATAAAACTTGAGGAATGATATCTATGCTGAGGACTCTTAATCTGCTGGACTGGTATACCTGTTGGGATTCCATGCTGTTCAACTCCATGCTGCACAGATGTTTAGAGATTATTAGATATCGGGAATTTAATTTATTAACATTTAGATATGAGTAAAGTGATTCACAGAAAATGGTTAAATCTGCAGGCTTTTTTGTTTATACTGTAAATATTGACTTTGTTATGAAAAACTAGACTTATTATTTTTAATGTCAAATATTCATTTTTATTAATTTTCTTGTTTTAGATGACATGAATGTGGAGGTTCTCTCGATGCGTTTGTGTGTTTAAAAATCAAAAGCTATTATAAGGCTATGTCTGAAAATTTATTATCTTTTAACAAGACAGCTGTATTCTAGGACATGCTGGATCACAAAATACTTTTAAGAAATTCATACTTAATAATAAATGAAAGCATAGTTTTAAAGGTAATCAATAAATCCATCTTCTTGTTCATTAGTTCAATTGTCATTCACCTCCTGCCATCTCAGGAATGTTATTTTGTGATTAAATAACCTCAGGGTATGCATATACAGTTAAAAGCTAGAACAAAAAGATTTCTATATACAGTTTAATTACATAAAAAATGTATTTTATTATAATTTTTTTAATTATCTCATGTAGGGCTGAAATTATCGGGCTAATCTCCTTTATTTTCACCTGATTTAATTTCGTAAAAAAGTCTTCTTTAAGGAATAATTGTTTATCTGGTTGTTAATTGATTAATCGAAAAAATAATCGACAGATTAATCGATTTGCAAAATAATCACTTGATGCATGAAAATAAAACACTTGATGCATGTATTCATTCTCAGCTTAGAGGTCTTGCAAATTCTCTTACATGAAGTTAGGGATTGTTGAAGGGTTAGGCCTAAATTTAATCAAAAAGTGGGTCATATGTATTTGAATATAAACTCCATATACATTGTCGGATTTTATGATCAAACATTAACTCCCAACCCTTAATAATTCATCTGTGCATTTTCTTTCTTCAGGAGGATGACGACGGGCCTCTTGGAGCTCCTGAATATGACACAGTTTCTGAGAACGGCTTCTTAAGTCGAAATGAACCAATACGCAGCAAGGTGTCCAAACTGACGGAGAGATTGCGGAAGCGCTATCCTACCACCAGCACAGGTCAGTGAGTTCCGACTTCCCTTTTTGTTTTTGTTTTCCCTATTTTCAGCTTCAGTGATGGGGCAGATGAGCCTTAGTGTTTATTAATACACGCTTCGATCTTCTTTCTCTGTAGGCAACTGTTCCAGCTGCAATGCTGTCTTCTCGGTGCTGAAGAAGAGGGTGAGACTTAAAGCTTCCTGTCCTTGTTTAGCTTTTTTTATTATTAGTTCTAGTTTAATCATTTCACTGACTGGATTTGAACTGAGGTGCCCTAATTTTGCAGAGGAACTGCAGTAATTGTGGCAACAGCTTCTGCTCCCGATGCTGTTCCTTTAAGGTGTTGAGATCCTGCATGGGGGCAACAGGTGAGAATAAAAGCTAACAGATGCAGCCATGTTAACAATAATCATGATTATATTTTAAGACATAAAATCTTTGTTTTTAGAAATTGCTGAAACTTTCTTTAAGCAGCCATATTGAGAACTACTATCTCACAACTTTTATAAGCATCCCTGTTTCAGAACAACTAAATCAAATGGCTGATTTACCTCCTCAGAAAGTCTTTAAATTCTGCAGAGGTCTGGTAATGAGGGAGTCATTTCATTTAGGTTGGAACAGGGATCTATGTAGAATGTTGCAGGACAGAAGCTCTCAGACACTTCTGTATGAGAGTATATTCCTGTTGCCTTTTTGAAATGTATTTATTTTCCTCCTGCCTCTTATCTTCTGCTTCCTGTCTCCTCCTCAGCTCCAGAGGCGCAGAGAGAGACCGTGTTTGTTTGTGCTGCCTGTAATTCCTCTCTTCTCAAGTTACAATGAGAGCCCATACTGAACCTGTCTCCAGGGTCTTTCACCGAAACCCAAAGCTACATGCCTCAGATCTGTAGTAAAGGCTTACACACATTAACCAGATATCTCATGTTAAACTCCAGGACCCTCCTGCCTTTACCAGCTGCATCCCTCTGTAAACCTCTCGTGTGGCTTGTGGGATTGCTTCTACCGTGTGTTTAGATGTTTTCTGCTAAATCTGTCAGTGATGCTCATGAGTCTGCAAGACTTGATAGAGATTATTATGGCTTCACAATCAAAGGACCTACATTCATCCATTCCTCTTAGCTGAGAGAAGTATAAAAGTCGAGTTAAGGCCAAGGACTGAACAAAATAGTTGGGTGGGTTTTGGTTTTTACCTGCTTTATGTCCTGTGGAGCAGATATGTCATACTGAGAGGAATTCTCAGTAAACAAAGGATCCTCTGTAGACTTGAGATGCTTTAGATTACTTTAGTAAGGGGCAAGTGAGTCTGTGGTCAAGTGAGGGGCCTAATTCTGCATTAAGCTCTGGCCAGCTAATGTGAAGATTGCACAGTTGCTTTTTAACATATCTAGATTTTTTTTTTTCTGGGGGTGGGGGAAAGTAATCTGAACTGCCTGAGATCATTTGTTTGTAATTATTTTGACAAAATGCCCATTTGTGTTTTACAATTTGTCCTATTGCTGGAGTACCTCCTGTGACCATAGGTTGGCCTGCTGTCTGGCTGGATCAGCACCATCTGCAGGGGTTCAAAAGTCACAGAAGAAAATCATGTGGAACCAGCTTAATTTGAAGTTAAAAAGCACAACCTTAAGCGGATCAGAGACTTTTTCAAAATAAGATTCTCTACTTTTTTTTTTTTCCTTTTTCTGGTTTTAATGTTTCCCCATGTGGATAAGTTATCAAGATGTCGTGGAAGCCTAGAAATCTCCAGACTTTTGAAGCTTTTCCTCAAACTGGATGGATATTGGAAGAACTAGACTGGAAGAAAATTACTGAACTTGCAAAACGCCACCTAAAACCTTCACCTCAGCCTCACTCTTTCTGGCAAGCAGGACTTGACTTGAAGAACTGATTTGAGGCACTGGAAATGTGTTTGGTGAAGAGTTGATTTTTAATCAGACAAAGATGATTGTAATTTTTTGCTTTGCTTTTATGGTAATTATATATATATATACTGTTACTGTAATATGTTATATTTGTTCTACATCTAATATATTTAATTTAAAACACCTGAAGGTGCAGATTTTTATTTCAGAAAATGGTTATTTTATGTTTTTTTGTTTTGTTTTTTTTAAATATATGTGTATATATTTAGGGCCATATTTTAAAGGTTCATTTATTATGTTATTGTAATAAATTCTGGAAATTTGAGTAAAATTTAAGAAAAGACCATTAGGTTTTTTTTATTTGTACATCATTAAAAGTTCTTACCACAGTTTAATACTGAATGTTAAAAAAAAAAAATTACATCTCTGCCAGTTTTAAGCCCAATAATTAACTTTAAGAATTGATTTTTTTTTTCTTTGCAGCATAGATTTGTGATAAATTTATTTTTTAATACTAGGTGGCCTAAATTTTGTGGTTTGTTCTGTTTTACTTAACAGTAATTTAGATCTAAATAGAATTAATATGAAATATTGGTGAAAAGAGCTCCCTTTAATACAGAGGAATTAAAGACCTCCAGTCAGCTGAAGTTGTGCAGATTTGGGATCTGGGATCCTTAGAAGGATGTTGGTCCATACCCCCTTGGGAGGAGACCACAAGTGGAAAACAGCAGATTTTAGTGACCTTTAAAATCTCGAGATTTGAGGGAAAAATTACACTTCACATATAACAAGACTATAGTACAACCAAACTATTAAAAATATGCTATTCAAAGGAGGTGATTCATCAGCAAATCAAAATTTGTAAACAACAAGCCAACAATAAACAAAAATACACAAAGTTTACATAAAAAAAAAAAAATCAGTAAATAGTCAAACTGTGCTGATTGAGCTTCCCAAATAATAGTTTAGCCATCCATGATGTGTTTTCAATAGATAGCTGGGATCTGGATGTCTGTATGGCTTTGTGAGGGGCATCACACAGTAAAGCTGGCAGCTGTTTTTTGAAACATTCTCTACCATCCATCCCCAACTGTTGTCAGTGGGATTTAAACCAGGGGTGCCTTTAGTAGTTCCAAAGCAGTCTGCTTATTATGAACCTGAGTGTTGTGCTCTGGAAGACCCAATCATTACTTAGAGAAGGGGCTTTGCTGCAGCATCTTCACATACCCAGCATGAATAGTTGGGTGCCTCTTGACAACCAGATTCTGCATGGTTTAAACTTTAAAAGAACTTGCAGATCATTGTATGGAGCACAAGAACTTTCCAGTTGGATCAGTCAGAACTGACCTGATTAAGATATTTTGTTAAGGATAACATCCTATTTTACACTTCATTCTCCCATCTTTATTTCCCCTGTGCACAATCCAAGGAGCAAGTTGCGTTAGGAGACCTGTCATCCTACAGTTATTAAGCTCCAAGAAAGGGCCACATGTCAATAAAACATGTAATTGACATTTTCATGATTATAGACTCTGTCATAACCTGTCTGTATTTCACGAAAAACTAAAGCAAACCTCACTGAATACAATAAAAAGCAGAAATCTTGTGCAGAGCTCTCCTGTTACAAGCCACGCCCCTCTGAATCGTTCGAGCTGGCCCCGCCCCAACAAAATTAGACACCCCCATTGCATCAAGCCCCGCCCTCTGATCGCCCGAGTCTCACTAAAGCAGATTTCAGCGGGTGAAGGGGTTCTTCCCCACGATCACGGATCGCAACATGGCGACAGAGGTAAGACGAACAATACTCTCTATTTTTCTGCTGGCCCAGAAATGAGAATTAACTTAATTTGCAAAAGAAAAAGGAGATGCAAATCAAGCCCACTCTGCTGAGGGCATCGGGTCTGCACACGGTCAAAATGATTAAACCGCTCCTGCCCTCTTTCAGGGCTGGGCTGGCGTTTTTATTCCTCTTTAAAGCAGAGAGACCGTTATTTTAGACATAGCGTGGATTAGAGCTTCGGCTGCGTGACGTGGGTCTTTAACAGAGATGTAGCGGATAATGGTGTGAGCCCGGCCGCCCACCCTCGCGATGTTAAGCTGTTTTGGTAAAAGCAGATCAGTTTTCCTCTGTTGTTCCATTTAATCCGGTGACAGGCCACTGTTTGACTTCAGCACCACGGACAGCAGCCACGCTGCGCAGACCTTCCTGTAAAGCTCCCGCTGTTAGACAGGCCGTTTATAATGCCTTGCTGGCCTTTTTCTGTTTGTCTGTCTCAGCTTGTTCAGTTCTGTTGTGAAAGTAGTGAAATCTTGCAACTCATTCCAGGCCAGAGAGAGAGAGAAAAAAATAACCCATCAGAGGCTGTGTGAATTAGATAGTACGTCGACTGCTAAGCTGTCCTCAAACAGCCAGCCAGGGAGAAATGATTGCAGTCACTGAGCCACACATGGATCGATCACATCCTGTCCTACACCTACAACACCAGCCTCTGTTTACACAAACAGGATTGAACAGAACTTGATAACTGCAAAGCGACAGATGGGTCTAATTAAAGATACAGTGCTTTAACCCTTATTGTTTTATTCTCTCTCCAACCCAGTTTCATAACCTACAGGAGTTGAGGAACAGTGCATCTCTTGCCAACAAGGTGTTTATCCAGAGGGACTACAGCGAAGGGACCACGTGCAAGTTTCAAACAAAATTCCCATCTGAGCTGGAGAACAGGGTAAACAGAGGATTTCCTATTCAATGTTATTACTTTGTAAGGTTTCAAGTACATGTTCAGAACCGCCTGTGCAAACCTGGTTAAAGAAAGAGTGAAAAGCCCTGAATCATGTTTTTTGTTGTAGTCCAATCAGTCATTTATGCATTTTTAAAAAAACAGGCAACCTTGAATTTGAGTACATTTGTGCAAAAGAAAAAAAAAACGTGATGAGAAATTGCCAAATATTGGTGCAACTCCTCACAATGGGGCTGCACTTAGTCTTTTTCATTAAAGGATAGCATCCAAAGTCCAGCCTTTTTCTCTACAGTACATCTGAACGTTCAGGTATAGTGCAGGATTTAAGTCTCGGTTGTTAGAGAAAAGTCGATTTTCTTTTTGGCAAAACATTTTTCTATAGATTTGGCCACATGTTTGAATAATTTTCCTGTTTAAAATATTCTGAAATTACTTTCATGCTATTAATGTGTTCTACCAGAGTTTTATTCAAAGTTTTGTATTTTGGACTTAATTTATTGCAATTATAATTTTAAAATCACATTTGGCCCAAATCGGACTGTTTAATACTGGAATGTGGATAAAACTTGCATTGCATGACTCCAAACTTTCATCATGATATCCATAGCCCTCTATGTGAAGTTTCTTACATATAATTCAAAATGGTCAAAATGATTGGGCCTGATTATTATTACTATTGCAAGGCACTTTGCATTGCTGTAGCTTCTTCTTTGTTGCAAAGAAGAAAGTTCTTTGTGGTGTTGCTATCTAACTTGTTACAATATATTTGTGATCCATCTGAAAGGATAAATAGGACTAAGTAGCACATCATATAAAATTTGTGTTTTCTATCACTCTTGGGTAAATGAAATTATATAACACTATAAGTGTAGTCTTATATTGTTAAGATCAAGCTTTTAACTTGAACAGATGTTGTAATGCTTCAAATAAATTAGCATTTTCACCTTTAGAATATAAGGGCTTTGAATGTCACAAGATCTGAACCTGTCAGTGTAAACATCCATATGCCTAAACTATCTTAATGTAAAATTATTTGTCTTTCGTGCCTTAGTTTTATGTGAGACCTTTTATATTTTTCTGTTAATTAAGCCCTAACAATCAGATTTTAGGGGAAATTATGTCTGATTATCTTATATTATATAAAGATAGTGATGTTTTTGGAGAAAAAAAAAACTGAGCCTTGTGCAGTAATGTTATTTTAAACGAAGCTTTTGAGAGTTATACCACATTCATTGATGCCTGTGGTTCATAATGTGTTTGCAGATTGAACGGACTTTGTTTGAGGACACTGTGAAGACACTGAACAACTTTTATGCAGAGGCAGAAAAGATTGGAGGCCATTCCTACCTGGAGGGCTGTCTGGCATGTGTCACGGCTTATTTGATCTTCCTCTGCATGGAGACTCGCTATGAGAAGGTTGCAGTGCCCGTCTTCAGTTCATTGCATTCCAGAAGTTAAGATTATTCTCACGTTAACTCTACAATGTTTGTCACCTGTCTGTCCAAACCATTTTTTCAGGTGTTGAAGAAGATAGCTAAGTACATTCAAGAGCAGAATGAGAAGATCTACGCTCCCAGAGGTTTGCTCATCACGGATCCAATTGAAAGGGGGATGCGTGTTGTATCCTTTGTTGTTCATTTATTTATTTTGCTTTATATGATCTTTGTTTCTGTAGAGATGAATTCAAAAATAATTGTAACAATGTTTAAGATTATAAACCTGGTAGTAAATTATTGACAAACATAACTGTAAAAACCTTCACAAAATTTGCAAACGCTCAGGAGTTTCCCACATGGCTTTATATTAATTCCGGGATATAGAGTTTAGCAGATTAATCTAATCTTTCTCTCCCCGATTCGTTCCTGAGAAGAGATCACTCGCAACAAGTTCTTTAAAAAACACTCCATAATATGTGTTAAATGACAATGACAACAAATTTTGACAGAAATTGTCATTTTATTCAGAACAGAGAAATTGCTCAGGGTTACAGCTGGCATTGCTTACCCATCGGGCTCTCTTCTTCAGAAAGTTATCCCTAAATCAAAGTTAAAGAAGCTTTTTATATGCCCAGCCTGCCACACCATCACATCATTACATCACACATGTTTGTTAATGAGGAGACATGCATGGCTCCAGCCATATCAAAACATCACACAGTGTTTTTAGATCAAAGACACTACAAATACAGTGTGAGAGAAAACTTCTTATCCACTTTTATCCATTCCCAAATATCTGTTATGTAAAAAATGAACATAACTTTCCTAATCAGATAAACTGCTTGGTGAAACATTAGTTTTTACATATAACAGGCAGGTATTATTAGGGTGTAACATAATAATAATAATAATAATAGAAATAATCCCAACACCATATCAAAAGCTGTGATATTTTGGATGTTTTTCTCAGATTTGTTTTGTTCGCTCATCTCCAAAGAGACTGAACATGTTGGGATTTACATTTTTTCATTAACACAAAGCAGTCGATAATGTGTAAATAAACCAGAGTTAATGATAAACCTCAGTGCTTAATGAAATATAATAACCAGCTTATTAAGACAATGAGCCAGTGCATTCCTATGTATCTTATTTTGTCAATAACGAGCAAAAAGGTTGATCCTTTCAGTTTTATTTGATATGAAAATAGCAGTAAAATTCTACATTACAAAAACAGCAAGTCCTAATTTCATCCTGATAAGAGCGTCTTATATCCAGAGGTGGAAAGTAACGAAATACATTTACTCAAGTTACTGTATTGAGTAGGTTTTTTGTATATTTTGTATTTT